CAAAATAGGTGGAACAGGAACATCAGCATTGAAGTGCTTTCTAAAGGTGAACACAGATAATATAATATGCTTTAAAGTGTCAGAGTAAAGAGTAGGGTAGTTTCTATGAGTTTCCGTATTTATTTTTTTTTTCTCGCATAACAGAAACACCAGGTCCTCAGCTTTTCAGAGCTGGTCAGATAACTGGTGCATGTAGGAACCCTCTTAGGGCATTAACTGTCTATAGTATAACCTAGGCTTCACTCTAGTGTGAACTTTGTTTAAAAACAGGGGGGCGGGGGGAGGGGAAATGACAAAAGGTAGCTTCCAAAAAGTTCTTCTTCAAAACAAAATACCCAGTTTTGAAACCCATTATCCTTTTTCCTGACAACAGCAATGAGGATTGTCTTTAATGGTGGTGGTGTTTTTTGTTTTGTTTTGTTTTTCCCCTTTTAGCTGAAACCAGACACTGTAGTTCAAGTGTGGATGGCAAACAACTACGCTCATGAACTGAGCAGTGTCACTGGAGCTGGGTTCACTGCTATCCTGGCAGCTCCCTGGTATTTAGACTACATTAGTTATGGGCAAGACTGGAAGAAATACTACAGCGTTGAACCACTTAACTTCCCTGGTTTGTTACTTTTTTTTTTTATATGCGTGTTCTGTGCAGGAAAGTCTTTGGTTCATAGTAAGGTATAAATGGAAAGAATAAGGCTATTTAGAGTGGTCGGTACAGTCACTATGATGAGAAACACTGTAATCAAAGAACTTTAATGTCAGCTAGAACTCTGGAAAATTCTCAAATAAAAACCATGCAACTTTCCACTTCTCACAGGGAAAAGCGCTACCTTCCTCAAGCATCTGGCTCTGGTGCTTGTGCGAAACAGGATGCTGGACTATATGGACAGCGGCATTATGCATTAGGGGCAGAGTTGTGGAAAATGGCTGTTGGTAGACAGACATTGAATTCATATGTTAGCAAGCTTCTAGAGCATTAGGCTGTTACAGAAAAAGACGTGTTCCCTCCCTCTGGCTAAAGCTGATACAATCACCTTATGCTTTCCGTGGGGCTTTCATTTTGTGTAAGGTAGCTCTCAGAGCTGATTAGGGAGAACATCTGACTTAGTAGCTTTTTCAAGGGATGGTGTGTGATAGAATGAACAGTTTCAATCAATCAGGACTGAAATCACTGAAGAATGTTGGAAGGCTGAGGAATGTCTTCAGAGGATAAAAGGTAGAGAGAAGGGAAATGGTTTCTCTGGACAAATGGCTTGGTGGTTCTCATATTCAGTAACAAGACTACCAAAACTTTGTTAGTGCTCAGGATAGATATTTTAGATGATAACACAAACAACTGGACATCAATCCTCTCTGTTTTGGAAAATGAAATCGTTGATATATGCCCATCTTCTGGGCAAATAGAAATTTTAACTTTCTGCTTTGAATTCAGGATCTGAAAAACAGAAAAAGCTTTTAGTAGGTGGAGAAGCCTGCCTGTGGGGAGAATTTGTGGATGCAACTAACCTTACACCAAGATTATGGTATGAACTGCTTTATTGTTAGATTTTAGAAAGCCAGCTACAAGGAGCATTAATTAATCCAACAGGACAGTGATTTGTGCTGAACCTGAGCAGCTATAAAAATTGATGCTTCTGGATACATAAGAACTGGTATTAAAAACTGTAATCCGTTCTTGGTTACAGACCATACCAACTCTAAAACTCAGTATATCCTTACAGGCCTCGAGCAAGTGCTGTGGGGGAAAGACTCTGGAGCAGCAGGAATGTGACCAACTTGCAGGATGCCTATAAAAGACTAACTAATCATCGATGCCGCATGCTCCGGTAAGATTTGTATCTCCAGGGAACCTTGGTTCTCATGCCTTATAACCAACGGATTTCAAGTACAGGCCTAAACTGCTGGCCTGGAAACGAAGGGAGGAAAACTAGCAGTCTAATCTGACTATGTAGATGTTATCCCATGTGGTTTTGTATCCACAGAAGAACAACAGATACACTAAGACAGGAGTTCTAGACAGTTTTGCAACTAACATTTTCAGAACTCATTAACTTTCTTCCGTGAAATACTAGAACTCACCTATGTCTCTCCTCTAAAAGAGAAAACAACATGATTGACTTACTTCAGACAAAAAGGATATTAAAGGGTACATGGGAGGAGTACACAGACAGGAGAAAAAGTAGACTTTTAAAAAAAGTTGTTAATGATTATAAAATAATAATTAAAGACCTGCAGCAGGCAACCAAGCGAAGCTGTCTCCATGAGAGGTGAGCTTGAGCAAGCTATTTTTTCAGGTATTGCCTTAGTGTAGGTACTGAAAGGGGTGGATAAGAAGTCCCTGATATATTTTAATTAATTTGTGACTCCTGTAAGCAAAGTCAGTTCATAACATGTTCTTCTCTGCAGTTCTTTCCTAAAAAGTACCTAGGGAAGTTACTGGTTAATTATTGCTAGTGCTATTTTTGTATATTCACAGTTGTAGGAATGAGTGATTTCTAGGTCTTAAGTCCAAATTTGACTCCACTTTTAAAGGTATGCAGTCAGAGAGCTGTTTAGGTTTTCCCAAATGCTGCTGCAAAGTTGTTGGACTGCAGCAAGAACACAACAGACCATTTAATTTCTCTACAAAAGTTTATGACCAGTCATTGAAAATCCCAACAGTGTGAAGAAGTACTTCAAGGTGGGTACAAATCAGCTTTTTGGAGAACAAGACACAATGGCAGTTAGAGTCAGCACTTAAAACTCAAGCACTCTGCTCATGTTCCTGTAGGTGTCTTAGCATGACTGTCTGAATCACTGACTTTTAGCTTACAGTATAAACTAGCTCTGTAATCAATCAAGTTAAAATGACTGAAAGGCTCGTAAGTTTTGACTTGTTGGGTTTACTTCAAGATGGCTTAAAGTTATGCTACAGGAAAAAAGCTGTATGTAAATTATCTCCTCAGTCATGAGAAAAATAGTACGTTAAGAGAGAGTTAACAAATACATGTTAAGAACAAGATTAAAGGGCTTTAAAAACTTAAGTCCTATCGCTTAACAGGACAGTGCATCTCTTGATGGGGCTCAGACAAAACAGTGATATAACTGACCAGTGAAGCATACCATGGCTGTACCTCTAGAATTAGGGTTTTACAGCGAGCTAAGCTGTGCTATTCCTGGACCTGGTTAACTGTTGCTGCATCTCCACCTTCTTCCTTAATGCTGGCACACAAGTGACACACTCCCTTGCTGTACAGGGAGCTGATCCAGATGACCGCAGATGCTCTGGTAGTGCTAGCATGAGAGATGCAGAATGCAGGGGCAGACTAAGGACTAATCCCTGTACTTGTTGCACACTTTTTCCTTAAACTATGTTCTGGTGCTAAAACTGCTTTGCTGGCATCTAAACTTATGGTGAACAATTCTCATTATAAACAGATTACCTTAATAAAAGGACAAGTCCTCTTGAAAATTATTCTTTTTATATAGGCTTTGAACCAGAGAAACACTAGAGAAACCATTCCCTTTCCACTGATGAAACAAGCATTCCCTGGAGCTGCAGTTCTGTTGCCTTTCAGGTCTACAGGGCTTCCTTAGCACTGTGTGAACTTAAAGAGCTGATTTAATCAGTCAGGCTGTTGTAAAGTCTTACAACTTTTTTATACATGACAAGCACAGACCATGGCAGTTGTAGCAGGCCAGGGAGCCTTTCCAGGTAGAAGAAACAGCTCTGGCTTGCTCTGCAGGGTGAGGGAATGGGTAGATAAGACTTTGTAACAACTGGATCAAAGTCACTGGAAGAACAGTAGCTCTGCCTGTCCAAGGCCGAGGCCACTGCTGTTGAAATAGTACCATGGAAGCAGTAGCTGCTATTCAGATCTAAACTCAGCTTCCTTTACGATGCAGCAGCCCAAGTTGCAGAGAATTGGTGATAGGAGAGGGCAAACAAAAAGGTGGGTGTGTATTCCTGAGACCTAGACAATAATCTTATCTTTTAATAAGAGTAGGTCTTGCTTAGAGGCAAGCAATAGTTCATCTGAGCTATTTCATTATTCAGTTTTTTTCCATTGCAGCTCTCAAGTGCAGTTTAAACACCAGTATATATTATCCTACAAATCACTGTAGCAGTACTATCTAGCTCTTAAATATCGAAGGAGCAGAATTTTGACTACAACTACTTTAACTCTGAAACCATCATAAGCTACAGGGTTTTTAAAGCCACATGAGAACAGAATAATTTATGATAGTGTAGCTGGAAAAACTAGCTCCCCCTAGAAAAAAAAATAATAAAATGATACAATTACAGCTGCATATGAAGGAAAACTGGGGTTGGGGGGGAGTGTGTAATGTCAATTGATATGTATTTTCACATTCTTACAACTTCTCTTCAATAAAAGCAATAGACTTGGCAGGACATCAAGACAACTAGCCCCTGAATTTAAGCTTTTCAACCTGTTTTCTACCTGATGGAAACTTAACTGAAGTACAATCAATGGTAAAATAGGGCCCTTTTTCACTCCCTGAATAGGCCATCTCACTTCTTGGAAGTAGTTTTGTTTATACGAAGATTAGAACAGAGTGCCACTGTCTCTCTCTGTGCTTACACAGCCAGCCAGTTGTTTGAGTATAATCGTACACGTTCTGCTTCATTTTAACAGCCGTGGCATAGCAGCCGAACCTGTGTTTGTTGGATACTGCGCCCATGAAGCAAGAGGGCAGTAACACTGCAAAGGCTTCTCGTCAACAACCTGAAGTGCCTCTGGGGTATGAATATATGTACATGCAGTTTGATATTTGAACCAAGACTTGAAATTTTCACTTTTGAAATAAAGTTATCTGGCATTCTTGTTGGGAGTAAAAATGATGGCATTTAGATTTCATTAGGACTTCACAGTGAAGAATTCCTGTTTCTGAGACTTGATACTGCAAAGTTACCAATTCCAGTTTCCTTACACTCTAAAGTTGAGGGAAAATAAAGCTAAGACACTATTTAAATAAGGAGCAAACTATCTTTTTATTTGAAAGCCTCTTATCATTTGCCACTTTCTCTGTAGCCAGATAATTGCAAATCAGAACCATTACAGTTTAAGTCACTCATTACTAAAGGTAAAAAAAAAAAATCTTCCAGGGTAGTAGGTTAGGGATCACTCTGCCTTTCTTGTATTTTTTGCACAATTTGCAGAAGCATCCATTCCACTTACTTGCTAAAGCAAACCCAGGTAGAAGTTACACCCAGTCCTGAACTGTGGCTCAATGTGGTTTCTAATGATACAGGAAGTAATACTTACAGTTGTACATTTAAAATGTTATTAACCACATTCTTTTATTCTGCTGAAAACATAAGATACAGACTGCCAAAACTGTAAAGTAAGAAACAGATCTAATGGCACATTAAGGTGCACTTAGTGCTCATTTCTACCAAGAGGATTTGCATCACTTCTCATTGCAGATATCTGTAAGAGAGGAGTTTGCAAAGCAGCAAGTTGTGGTTGCATCTCTGGTTCAGCTGCTTTGCAATTACAAGGCTGCGCCAGGAGAACACAGGCTCTCAAACCTTCCCTTGAACAGTTAAAAGCACAGTCTGCTCGTATGGCTGCTAATTCATCATTTACCACAACCAGTTGGTCCCAGAAGAACATACTGGTGTACATAAATAGGCTCCTGGAAATATTTAACAGGGAGGGTAAAAAATATCTTGATTGTTCTACAGAGTAAAGCGATCACTCCAACCCCATCCTCCTCTGAAGAAGTGCACTTTGCTCTTGACTGCTGAGGGCTTGGTAACTGGCAAGCTCCAAAGTGAAGGTTGCTGAGCCTGATGTTAGAGAACGCAAAACTGTTGAATAGCCCTGGACAAAATGGAGAACACGTCACTCAATTTAGGATGGAGGGAAGATAAGTTTGCACAGAAAGCTGTTTATGTCGCAGCGAGGAAGAGTCAGAAATATACTGCAACATACTAGTAAGTTAATTTTTTAATATTACTGTATTAAAAGTACAATTCATGCATGAGTCAACCTAATAATATACTATTAAAAAACTTTTCTCTGTAAAACCTGTTCTAGTAGTATTTACTACTTCTCTGACTTACAACTGAAAACACGCTGGCACAAAACCACTACTAGATCTGTGGGCACTTGCTTCAGACCTTCAATAAATAAAATACAGTAAAAAGACATCCATTCCAAACTTACCCATAACAACAGGAAAAGTGAACTGAAGCATAATTACTTTTAAGCTTATAAAGAGAGATCAGATTTGTGTTTTACCATTAATAAGATAATGACATACCATCATTTCTGCTAGTGGAACAGCAGCAACTACAACTCTGTTCTCTTGACGACTCTGGATTTCCTGAATACTACCTCTCCGCTGGGCAAGGTCAGCAAGTGCAGCACTGAGGTGATCTTCACTTACTGTGATTTCTAGGTTCATCAGGGGCTCCAGTATTTGTATACCAGCCTTTTTCAAAGCCTATGTGGAAGGGAAGGAGAGTTATGTTGGCTCTTCTTTTTTTTTTTTTTTTCTTTTTTTCTTTTTTAGAAAATTGACATAGTAAGTACTTGTGTAACTCAAGCTAATACTGCCTCTCAAATTCTCTACTTCCAAAAGCTATAAAGTTCCCAGTAAGGGTATTACACTGTCAGAGAAGAGCAATTACCAGATACTGGTACACATACCTTTTCCCAGTAGTGCATCATGCTACTGTATTCTACAGCTGCTTACAGGTTCACTGTACCTTTTGCATGCAGCGGGAGACACAGGCTGATACCATCGTGTGGGAGGTGTCAGGATGCACTGTCAGTGATTTCACTGTCACATCTATATCCTGAACTGGGAATCCAAGCAAAGGTCCTAGAGAAAAAAAAAAAAAAAAAAAGCAAAAAGCACACTTGTTTTTCAGAATACTAAGACATTCAAAAAAGTTTCAGGATTAATTTGGAGCTTCTCCCTTTCCTCTTTCCCCACTCCTTTCCCTTCCTCCTCCCAAGGGCACAACTACTAGTCTTGTTCCTAGATCTATTTTTTTTTTTTTTTTTAAAGCACTTAATGGCATGAATTTTAGGCTGTAGATGGGACAATTCTGAAGTGTCTTCAAGAAGCATGAAGAAAGCACACATTCAACACTCATTCCACAGGCAGAGATGAGAGAAGCTTTCCAACTCAACAAAGCAACATGGATAAAACACCTCATGCTGCTGCTTCTAGAGTAATTCTCATTTATCAATCTGCTGCCTGTTAATTTTACTGTAAGGGAGAGTTCTTCAGCCACAAGTTATTAAACACTTCCTATTTTTAATCAAATGTAAAAGATGCTTTTAGTCCTTCGGGAAGCCTATGTTTTGCAATCAGGTAGGGCTTTTTATTGCATCCTTTCGTGGATTTAACATTTGTAAATCAGAATGCCATCAGTAACTCTTAATAGAAATGTGGTACGTACATGTTGGCCTCTGAAACCACTTGTCACATCACTGTGGTTTATGTGATGCCATCAAGCAAACACCACCTCTCTTTTACCAGATTAAAAAGCAAAACAAAAGAACTCCAAGCTCGCTGTTGAGTGCCTGAGAAGTTCAACCTTAAAACCAACGGCATGCTGACTTCCATTCCCAGCAGAGGGGAAAGGGGTGTTTGGTAATTTTTGTAGTTAAGGAAATTTCAGAATTTTCCTTTGTATCTAATGTTAATACGTGTTTCTTTTAGTTGTCAAGCTACCAAGGAGTTTTTCCTCCTGGAAACAATATATTAAATTGCTTCTTACAGGAATGTCGGACCAGTAAAGCTGTCATAGCAGTTCCTCTACCTTGAATGCATGAATTCATGATCCCATTGTCTATAGCTCCTTGGAGTTCTTTGGGTAGCTCTTCAATGACACTCGCAGCATACTCGATTACAGGTTTTGTCGCTGCTCTCTCCCCTAACCGGGGCCTCAGTTCTAGCTCTGCAGTTACAAAGTGTCGTTTATCTCCTACTGTTTTGTCCAATATATCTGCAGGGGAAAAAAAGGCAAAACAACCATTTGGAAAACAACGTAACACCTAAAATTCATCTGAAAGTTAACTTGTAAGATTGTTTAAAGTAAATGAAGCCACAAAACCAGAGACAAGGCATTCCTTTCATTCACGCATTTTACCTGTAGCTTGGGCAGCATTTAGGATGGTTTCTCTGTATGCTATTTGAAGAGGTCCCAAATAAGTCTCAATTCCATATTCACGTTTTATTCGGTCATGAATGATCTCTATGTGTAGTTCTCCCATGCCACAAAGAATAGTCTAGTAAGAAGAGAGTTAAGAGAGAAGAGAAAAAACATGCAAAACTCAGGTTTTAATACAAACTGTTTAAGGACTTGCAAGCTCTTTAATAGTCTCCTAAAAATATTTCAAATTCTAAGGAGCCTAGAGAGAAAATAGGACTGCTTTAGGTCATCTAACATGAACATCATATAAGGGAGAAGGTAATTACCACTACTGTGACCACTATAAAAAAGGCCTTACGCTAGCTTAAGGACTATGTAATTAAAACTTTTATTTAAAATACAGAACTGTCAAAAACATGCATAGAACAGGATGACTTCCTCTACTCTGTAAAGCAGAAGTGCACAGGGCTCCACTGTAGTTTGAGGCACTGAACTTTGCACATATATGATACAAACATTTAGAGAGTCCTTTTTATTCAAGAAAATATCAATATGCAAACAAACTAACTGAAGGGTGGTCTTGACATTCTAAAATTAAGCTTGATTATAAGGTGAGCAATAGATGTTTCATCTTACTTGTCCTGTGTCAGGATCTAGCTTCACTTTTAAACTTGGATCTTCACGCTGAAGGCAGCTCAATGCATTATCCAAGTCTGTACATAAATATCAAACATTGTATCTAAAGAGATTTCAGTAATTTGAGAATCGCTATGAGTGTCTAAACATCACTTTCCTCATAAGGTCAAATCTTATTCTCAGAAGGAATCAAAAGGACCCTAAAGCAGCATAGATTTTGGCAAACAAAGTCTATTCAAATTACAAGCAACTTGCTACTTCTGATTCTCTCCAACAAATTAACTGTGTGCTACAGAGTGCTTTGAATTAATTGAATTTTAATAATTAAATTAGAGTGATATTTTGTACTTGTATAAAACCAGAATGGAACCTGAAGTGCTTCATCAAGTCAGTAAAAAGTACTGCTCCCTTTTTACAGATAAGAAAAATTGTCAACTAACTCTTCCATGTTCAACATGAAGAGGTTCAAATGCAAAGTATTTTTTTCTGATTGCCCATTATCTTAACTGCTGAGGAAAGCGGCTACAGAATGATAAACTCAGAGCTGAGACTGCATTTATCTATCTTACAGTCTTTGAAAAAAACCAAAACACAATTCACAAAACAAACATCCAAACCCCCCCAAAACCAGGAACACCTTACAACTCGGCAGCCCAGCCTGCAGACACATTGCTCCAAATTTGCATTCTACCTTGCTCTATTCCATCATACTTCACTGGTACTCATCCTTCCTCCCCTTCACCCACAACTAAGCTCAGCTTAGTTGGAATGAAGGCACAGAGTTTAAAGTATATACTTCCAAAAAGAGTCAAATGGAACCAAGTTGTGTGGTACAGATTCTTGGGAAAGGCAGTAAGATTACAGGTCACACCGCCTGGGTGAACCCTAACTAGACACACAGAAGTCTTAGTAAGTGAAGACTTTACACCATAGAGTGAAACTGCAAGTGCTGACTGGAAAAACCCACAGATTCCAAGGTTATTTGTACTCAGGACACTATGTACAGCACACCAGCATGACTGCAGCAAAACTAAGCAGGACAGTAGGAAATGAAACTGCCTCCATCTCTGCTTTCAAAATGAAGAACTACTACGTTTTTAGACAGAAAACCGAAAAAAGCACTGCTACTAGTACTGCTTGATGTGCTAATAGCAAAGGATATTGACAACCACAATCTAAAATACATCACCTGTCCAAAACACCAAAAAGGGCCTTATTAGATCACTGATGGATAAACTTGTGCAACTCACTCATGTCAACCAGGTGTGCACAGGCTGGGGATAAGTGCTGTTCTTTGCATAGGAGAAAATGGTTATGCTTGAATATACCATTTGTAGAATATCTTAACGTATTCCTAGGTAGCTATGTTGTACCTTGTTGTTTGGCCATTGAGGGAGGCTCAATTGTACAGAAGAAGACAGGGTCAGGGATCTCCACACCTGCCAGCAGAAGGCTCTCTACGTCACTGGTAGACCTCTCCTCTCTCCCAGCATCCCTTCCAGCTCGGCGTGCTGCAGCTACTGCTGAAGCTTTTGATGACACTATGGTATCTCCAGTGGCACTCTATCGATCAACACCCAGTGACCCACAAGAAACAAGAAGGGGAGTGGAGGGGATATGAAAAAAGAAACCAAAAAACCAAAAGCACAAACCCTGAGTATTTCTCCTCCTCAAAAACGCTTGTGCTAAACTCCACTGATTTACTTATTTATAAACAATTACTGTAACTTCTCTCTTCAGATAACTAAAATGATCTGGAAGAGAAAAAAATGTGCTCAAATTTAGACTAACATTGCTTTGTCCAGTTCACTGCACTGTAAATCTAACTTATCATTCAAGACATAAAGCTGCAAAGAGAATATCAGTAAATGAAAATTTTCTTATGCATGCCAAAGTTGGTTACATTTTAGAAAAGCTGTGCAAATGAGATCTATGCAGCCTGTTCAGACAACAAACACTGAATTAGTAAACTAATAGAAGCCAGCATGAAACAAACTTACTTGAACTTAAGTTAAACTGTTGCTTTTGGGTAACTTATTTGGAAAACATCACTCTCCTTCCCCATAGGAGGTCTCTCCATGACATTACACTGGATTTTAAGAGTTACATATATAAATACAAGCTCAGAACCCTACTAACATACACCTTCATTTTTCAGTCCGTTCCATGTAATCAGCACCACATCTCCCAGGTCAATTACCAACATTTATACATTGTAATACTTCATTTTAGGAGGAAGTACAGGTACATGTGCTTCAAATACAGCAAGTTTACACATGTCACAACAATGAAGAACGCATCTGAGATACAATACCATAGAAGTAGAAAGCAGACTAGTGAAACAAGCTCCCCTCTCCATAAGCTATCAGTGTTTTCCATTACCTGTTTTAACCCAACGGTAAGGGCAATGTTGCCAGGCATTAGTGATGGTATTTCAATTTGCTGATCAGCAAAAGGCAGGAGCAGCCGACTCATTCTCTCCCTGAAAATGAAATTCTTGAATTACTCAGGGCTTGAACAGACATTCCAATGCTACACCAAACCACATCTCTATCTTACTCACGTGCAACTTTTGTTAATATTATATACAGCTGATTGAGGTTTCAGTGAACCTGAGTAAACACGAACAAAAACTAGTGGTCCACGACATTTATCATGGAGAACTTTAAACGCTAGGGCACACAGGTCATCCTTGTACCACTGTCTGCAAAATAAAAAGACAAAAAGCATCCCTGTAGGATTAATCCACTCAAACTCACATTTACCTCAATTTCCACTCATCTGAGAAGCAGTATGTTTCTTATTGTAATATTAAGAGAGGCAGGTTTTTAAAAATCGTAATTTATACCAAAAAATATTAACCTAAGCAGTTACAGCTCCAGTAGGATATGTAAAATGTCACACAACTCAGCCAATACTAGAGGTGATCCCTTGACCCCAATTTTGTAAATTGGCAATATCCTCAGATTAAAAATAGACTTTAGAACTCTGAAGTGCAAGTTTGAAAACTGGAGACAAATGCATACAATTCCAGTTGCACTGACCAAAAAGGTTCAGCACTCAAGTGCGTTTTTATGTCTGCACACCTTTACTTTATTTAATACCTAAAAACAGTAAGCATTTTTAAAGATAAGAATGCTTGGTTGATATTCTTCATTTTCTGCTTTTATGCTTTCCTACTTATTCTTCCCTTTTTCCTGTACCTCCTCTTCTCCTTGTACTTACAGAAACTCATATGAACGCTCATCAGGTGCAGGCAAGTACATAGTAATAGCATCCAGTAACGGCTGCACTCCTTTGTTCTTCAGTGCACTGCCACAGAGTACAGGCACCGCTTTCTGAGCTAGCGTGACTCTGCGGAGAGCGGACCGTAACTGCAAAGAAGAATTATTTTCCGTTAACATGTGAACTACAATTTAGCCTTAAACTGCATTCCAGCTATCAGATTTTGCCAACAAATCCCCAAAAGTTAAGAAGTACGTTTGCAAATACAACATCACTCATCCAAACTCCTTTCACTGCTTTTTAATGACCTCCCAACCATAAACCCAAATGTTCAGATGCTGAAACAGAAGACACTGCTTTTAAGATTTTGAAAGGTGTCAGGCAGCTCTGCAGCTGTTCCTGTTCTTTTTCTAACAGTCCTTTTAATTCAGAATGTTGTTCCTCACCGCTTTCAGCGTGGCAGTGTTTGAAGATCCAACCAATTCACAGTGGTTGAGATGCTACTTTTGTTAGTAAGAATCAGCAGCTCGGACACAAACTGCACTGACTCTGCCTGGCAATTCCATTCACCTTTTCCTAAATGCTTTTGCAGCAGCCCAACTTTCAAAAACAAACAAAAAAAACCCCATGAAAACCAAAACACCCCAAAACAAACCCAACCCTTCCTGAACAAAGGTACCCTACTTTTAAATTTGTGTCTAGCATGTCTGAGAATTGTAGTTATTGCATTATCGTATAAAATTCATGCTAAGCTTGAAAATATTTTCTCCTAAACTCACAGTACTGTAAATTTACTACAAAAGCTGGTGTGAGGGGGTTTTTGTTGATAAAAAATGCACACCTGCAAAAATCATAACCTGCATGTGCCAAAGGAAGGAAAACCCAGCCCTTCAGAATAATAGCTAGTAAAAACTTGTTTCTAAATAGTGAAGTGTAAAATTACCTTGTCAGCTGGTATTAACTCAAAATTTTCACTATATTCTCCTAGAACCAGTTCAGCAAATTCATCATCCAGATCTGCAACCTTCAACAGAATAGTTCTTTATTATTTGGCACACAGCAGTTTCGTAGGTAAGTCACAAATCTTAGTTACTTAGGAAATAGAGCTAAACAGAGCAGGAACAAAGCCTTTGAAGACATCAGATATCATAAACTCAAGCCACAGAAAATTACGAAAATTAAGGTTTCAAGAAAGGACGGGGGCGGCAGGAAAAATCAAGTCAAAGCCACTGTCAGGCAAAACATCAGGGGGAGAGACAATGCTTGTACCTCTCCCTGAAATTGAAAAGCCTGCAGCCGTACAGCAACAGCCACAAAGGGTGTAACTGGAGGTAGTTCGGATCTGCAAGCAAGGCAAAGCCTGAAGTAAGCAGCAAGTAACCTTTTGTGAGCCAACAAACACACAGCTGAAAAAACCAGACAAGCCTTTGGGGCATTTTGACCTTCCTCATGGCAAAGGCTTGTAGGTCCACAAGCTCATCTGTGCTTTCAAACTGTACCGCTTCGCTTGACAAATAAATTAACCACTCTTTAAACCTTGACTCACATAGAACCCTGCGCTGTCATAGACGTGGGACACCCCAAGTGCAGGAAGGCACTTTGCCCCCTCTAGCGGCTACAACAGCAATTGACCGAATACTGGAATGAATCATTGATAAGCAATTAGAAGTCTAATCCAGCTAACAGTTAAAACATAAGGAAAGCGTTCCATGTAATTAAGTGAAAACAAAGTGTACAAGATAGCTGGTACTCCAACTACTAAATGTTACAGTGTTTCTGGTAAGGAGTATACATAGCATAGAAAGCATATCAAAAAAAATCTTCTATGAACCCAAGGCTATCTCAATTATCACTCTCCTGGTCCACCCCTTCCTCCTTCAGGAAGGGCCCAAAAACCAAAGGAAAAAACCCCAACACTGTTCTATCTGACAATACATTTCTTTAAGGTAAGAGGCTGAGTAATAACATCCCCATTTAAAACCTGGAAATTTTGAAAACCAGATTGTGTATGTGTTGCACTGACGGATCTCTGCAATTCTCATGTTTCAAAGGAAACTGAAAGCCTAGCGTCATCTGTTTATGCACTTGCACAACATTATTCAAAGTTGTATGGAGGACAGCCCTCCCAGCAAAACAGATCAGTGTCTGAGGTAAACGTAGTTGTTAACCTCCCATACTTTTGCTTACAAAAGTATGCATTCAAATGTAATCACTACTACACTTTTAAGTTCTATAAAAACAAACTGAATGTAAAAACCTTTTTACTTGGAGAGAAGACTTGCTTAGAGTCTCTTGCATACAACCAACTCGTCCAATATAATTATATAAACTACAAAAAAAAGTGGGGGACCTTAAAATGCCAGCTGAGGGGAGAAGAAAAAACACTCTGGACAACTATTTCAAATGTTCTGACTGCTCAACAGGCAAATTATTCTTTTACTTCCATTAATTCCTCCATTCTTCACCCTTTCTAATCTGCCAACTTTACAAAACCTTGTATCAAGTAGCTCAAGATCCTATTTTCTTTCTTAGCTTCACAGCATGATGATTTACGTTAAAGAAATACTGTTCTTTTCTCATCTCTCCCATGGACTTTTTGGATGGATCTGGAACAAGGTTTATGGTGGCATTCAGCTGCCTTTAACACACTATTTAGTGTCATCCTGCAACATCCCATCCAGCTGCCACTCCAGAAGGGTACAGATATTCTGTAGGTTCTGGGTCACATCTGCCAGGCCTCGTGTGAATGTCCCAGGTACCTTTTGGCATCTAAGATGCTATGTTAGCCAACTGGATGCTAAACCTGGTGCCTGCTTTCTTCAGTTCCCTATTTATAAAGCAGGGAGTATTTTCCCTTTTAGGCACGTACTGTACAGCCAGGGAGTCCAACTCTCTATATTCAGCATGTTTTGCCATCACATGTTAATATTTCCCATGTGCATTAAGCACCTTTGATGGATAGAAAGGAAGTGAGGAAAACTTGCAATTAGTTCAATAAGGAGAAATGCAGAATCTTGCACCTGGGACAGAGCAAATGCATGCACTGATATAGAGCAGGGATCAACTAGCTAGGAAACAGCTCTGCAGAAGTCAACCAGAGGGTCAGGTGAGCATGAGCCAGCAGTATCCCCTTCCATTGGCAAAAGCTAACTGCACACTGGGCTGCATCAGCAAGAGCACAGCCAGTGGATGAGGGCAAGTGGTTAGTACCCTCTACCCTGCACTCGTGAATCTGGATCTAAAACTCTGACTGCTTTTAGGTTCCCCAGCACAAAAAGACTGACAAACTGCAGGAAGTCCACTGGAAAACCACTCAGGTGGTTGGAGGGCAGCTGGAGGCCCAGAGAGGTGGGTTTGTCTAACTTGGAGAGGCTAAGAGAGGACGCAAATGCTGCCTCTTACTACTTGAAATGGTGGTGGTGGTGGGCCTGCTTCAGCGAAAGCAGAGCCAGATTCTTCTCAGAGGTACACAAAGACAGGACAAGCGGTGGTCGCGGGCTGCAGTACCATAAATTCCCATTGGACAAGAAGAAATAACGTTTCACTACAAGGATGATCAAGCACTGGGACAGGCTACTTAGACAGACTGTAATCTCCATCCTTATAGACTTGAAAACTCAACCAAACAAGGCCTGAGCAACCTGATCTAATGTTGAAGTTAAGCCCTGCTTTGAGCAGGTCAGGGCACCAGACACCTCCAGAGGTCCCTTTCAGCCTATTTTTTCCCCTGTCCTAAATAACAGTTTCAAATATATTATGTATTTACTTTAGAACTTTACTTGTTCTATTAAGGTATTTCTGGCATCCTGGACTTCTTGGAACAGGGTGGGATCATCAGTCTCCAGCAGCAGCTTTTGCTCAAAATTTTTTCCATCATCCAAATCAGAAGTAGGTTTCCAAATTATTTGTTCCTTAGTCACAAGATCAACCAGTCCTCTGAAGGTCTTGCCTTCCCCAACAGGCAACTGCAAACAGAGTGGGTATTATAGACAGCTGCAGAAAATTAAGAAAGGAGTTCCATTCGAAAGAAAGCAAATAAACATTTAATTGCTATGCTTACCTGTAAAAGCAAAGGTTTTGTCTTCAACTTTTGTTTGATACTCTCAACAGCATATGTAAAGCTATATAAAAAAAAAAAGATACCAAGTTACACAGAACTTAGTGACATAGTAAAATAGGTTTACCATTCTAATCTACTGCAAAGATTACTCCTATAATTACACAAAAATATGCATCTGCATAATCAAAGATGTATATAGTAAATATTAACATAATTGGCTTGCTCTATACTTAGCAGAAAAACCTTAACTCGATGAGACACATTCTCTTACAAGGCTTTTAGCAATGATTAACATAACTGCCTAAATACCTTGCCCTGTTTTTGTCCATCTTGTTCAAAAAGCAAATTCGTGGTATCTGATGTTTGTCTGCTTGTCGCCACACAGTCAGAGTTTGGGCCTAACACAAAAGACAAAATGGAAACATTAGTGCCAACAGCTGAACCACGCACTCCCCAATACTGCCGAAGGACTGAGTTCAGAGTGCAGAAGGGAACTGTGCTGAATGCATTGCGACAATCCCGTAGGCAGCAGCGCAGATGAGCTCCACGTGCAGCTTCGTCTCATCTCTTCTCTCAGCTGTCATCATTCCCCCTCCTTTGCTATAGGCACACAGGCAGGGGAACAGGGAGAGAAACTAAGCGTTACAGGGGATATATATGGAAAAAACTCAGTAATGTAGAGAACTCTGACTTCACTGCCATGTTACTTAAGCACACACAGGCAAGCATTTCTGTGGCTACACATCACTAAAACCACCATGGTTTTGCTAGTAATTTCAGTGATTTCACAACACACAACTTTCCAACAGGATTGAACTACTCAAAACATCTCATGTTATAAAGTCAGATTCCAGCCTGCCTCCACGTTTTCTGCACTACGCCCCAAAGGGCGTGTTAAATAGGCCACGGGGGAGAGAGAAATTCTGGCTGAAAATGATTCTATTTCTACATGAAAGCTGAAAATGAGAAATGAACAGATATTTACTTCTTTCCACTGGTGGGGCTAGCCAGAAGCATTCACCTCAATCAATGTTTGTAAAAGACAGCAACAAAACAACAACACCCACTCACCCCGCCCCCCAGGCTTTAATGGGAACCCCACTTATTTGCCCCTTATTCCCATGGCAATTCCTGTACACTACAGGACTTGAAATTAAATGCTCAGCTTCCTGAAGCTGAATTTTGATCAGAGCATCACAAGAGATAATACAGAGTAACATCTCTGTACCACTATTATTACTATTTGAGTCTGATTTAAGTCACTAGAAAAAAAAAAATAAATCTACCAGTTATTTTTACCTCAACACCAGCTGAAGCATCAAACACTGCTACTGCTCCATCCAGGACTCTCAAGCAACGCTCAACTTCCACTGTAAAATCCACATGACCTAAAAAACATTCTTCCTTTCATACCATCATAATTTGAACAGGCAACATCAACAGCTCATTATAATTTTTTTTTTAAAATCATGTCAAAACAACTCTGACTTCGCTTGCAGAGAAATACACCCATCAGTCCTTGAAACACACAAGATTGTTACATTGCAATCCCAGAATTGAGAGCTATTTAGTGTGGAAATGTCTGAGCTCATCTTTAAACAAGCTAGGTTAGGCACAATAATTAGCCAAAGCTGAACAGAGCTCAGTACAGGCCTTTTTACTGATGCAATTAAACCAATACTGCACCATATTTAAAACTAAGACTTAAGTTCTGTGACACCTCATCTCACCTACTCTCCCCTAACACTGTGAGTACTGATGAAGTGTAGTACCTGGGGTGTCGATCAGATTGATTCTGTAGTCCTTCCAGTCAAATGTAACAGCAGCAGACTGAATGGTAATACCACGTTCTCGCTCTTGTACCATAAAATCTGTCACTGTGTCCCCATCATCAACATCTGTGAACAGGAAGCAGGATTACAGTTGGGTAGGTAAATAATTCAAAAGCTGAAATTGTCTTGGAATACAGATGCCAAGAGAGATTTGGAAATGCTGACCCTTTTATACATGCACAAGCTATGAAAACTAGCCTTTTTCAGAAAATTATAATGTCAGCTAATTTACCCAGGCTCCCTTTCCAGGAAACAAAGGCTCTGTAAGTCAAAGACAAGTAATCCCAACAACCTTCTAGTTGTTCTTAATCCTAGTAACACCATGAGAAACTTAAAAACTAAAGCAAATTCCAAAATCATGAATAAACTACAGTTTTAAAAAACCCGGCTGCACTCATGGTACAGGATGTGACCGATATGTTAAAATTTAGTTAAAATTTAATTAAAAGGGAATTAAGTTAAAACACGCAGGCCACCAAGCGCTCCACAAGCCCAACATCTTCTACTGTTTTCATACACAGCAGAAAGCAGGGAATTAAATTTCAAGGTCAAAAAGTAGAACAACCGGAGGCTGCTGTGACCCTTTCAAACTTGAAGAATTCTGTGAGAGTTGTTGAAGCAAGGAATTCTTCCTGTGCTACGGCTTTCAAAAGAAATGGCTGTATTTCATTAATCCGGTTTCTTTACAGGTCAAAAAAGAACTGAAGAAACAGTTTTACCAGAGCAGCCAATGAAAAAGTAAAACCAGGAGAACCTCTAATTAAACGGTAAACAAAACATAATGCACTGAAAGTAAAAGAAAAATAGGAACTTATGATGTCTCAAAGTACAACTGCCTTAGAAAGTCATGTCTACACTAAGGGTTCCACCAGCAGCCTCTAACTGCGCTGCATGTCACTGTATACTATTAAATCTCTCAAAGCTACTGAAATACAAAAAGTACTTCTAACCTCCAAGTGTTCTTATGTATCCGGAATAATACAGCATTCTCTCCGTTGTCGTAGTCTTCCCTGCATCAATGTGGGCCATAATGCCAATGTTTCGGATTCTGCATAAAGCAAAAACTTACTGTGGTAATTTTTTTATTCAATGATACTATTACTTGCATAAACAATTAATATTCACCGAGAATAGCATACCAGATGAATAACATTTTTCCTCTGTTGCATAATCTGATACAGTGCACATTCTGATACTGAAGTATGTTAGCACCAAAATGGTGGATCTTCTTCAGATCAGTAGTACTCAACAGTTTTGGAACAGGTTCCTGCTTCACTTCAGCGGAAGGTCACCTCTTGGCCTCACCCTCACCCGCCTGCCCTCCTCACAGACAGAAGCAGCCCCTCCACCCTCCCATCCATCCTAATCCCTAACCCCCCCAGCCCTGGTGCCTGAAACAATCCATTGCATATACACCCTTTATGCCCCAGATCCAGCACCCAAGATCACACGAAGTTGTCCTTGATTCTGTTCAGCCAAGCCTTCCTTTCTGAAGTACCTCGCCAGTAGCTTCCAAAACTGCTTCGCTAGCTCTGCGCGTTGCAGGCTTGCGATCAGCCCCCATATTCATCATTAATGCTAGCTGAATTAGCCCTCAGGACAAAAGTAATCTCCCGGAGGAACTTCACCCCCAAGCTATTCCTTTGGCAGCTCAGCCCCTAATTACCTTGCCCTTGTTACTGAGGCCCTCATCCAGCAGGGCTGAGCACTCCCATGAACACAAAGATGCAGCCCTGCCCACAGCAGTGGTGTAGTTGCCAAGACATCCCTTCTGCCTTGGTCAGCTCCCAGCAACCACCATGGATTCAGAGCTTCCCTAGGAGCCCGGTTTTGGTTCTGATGATGTAAACTAGAGACAGCCCAAGACGCCAACCACTGTTCTATATTGGAATGTCAGACAGGTGAAAGTAAGGAAGCACTAACTTTAATTTAGAACACGCACATGAACTAGGCATGTGATTGGCACAGCAACAACCCATGACTCTTTATCACATCAATCACCCTGACCATTGGTTACACCCAAAAAATAAGCTAGCATGACATACCTGGATATATGAGGATTAATGACAGAACGCAGAGACTTAACATCTCCTGGAATCAAACAAAACAAAACAACAATTTGTAAGACTGACCCCAATTTAGAAGTCAGATTTCTAACAAAACTAAATATACTCAAGAAAATTCCTAAAAAGCTTGTAAAAAAAAATTTCAGAGCCACAAATCATGACAATTCATAATCCCTACCATCTCAAATTTCTAAAGAATATGTACCTAATTTTCAATAAATCTTTCTCTTTAAAAAAAGACAAGTTCTTCAAAACACTTGTAATTTAGAAACAACAGGAAAAAGCCAAGACAAAAAAGCATCATCAGCACAGTAAAATCTTACCTTGCAGAAGCAATAACAAAACTTGCCACAAGAGAACTGTAATGTTGATGCTCATCTGAACTGGCTATTAGACAACAAATTTCAAAAGTAATTTCTCCTCTAAACACTGAAGCTAGACAGCATAATGAAAGAAAATGTAAAGGTTAAGAAACCATGGGACTGAAGAGTTTTAAATTCTTTTTTTCTTGAGATATGTTTCCTCTCTCACACCCTATCTAGTTGGAAAATAAAATGCCAGCTAAATTTTTATGAAACTAATCCATAGTTCAGGTACTCAAGCCATTTAAGTTGTATTTCAGGAACTCACTTTCCTAGTGCTTTAGTTTATCTTTGGTAGGCCAAACAGAATTCAACAGTATCTAACACTCCTTCACCATCTACAGATCATCCTTATCACCAGAGAGGCATTAAAGAGGCATCCTGTAGGTTAACACCTCGATGAGGAGAAAGACTGATCTTAGGAGAAGCAAGGTAGGAGGCTGGAAATTCACTGCTGCCCACCACCCCCATCCCAAATAAACACTCCAGCTAACACTGCCTTTTCCCCTCCAGTTCCTACAATAGCCCACAAAATAACATACTGATATGTTTGCAGCTTCTTGCTCATCTAAGTCACATGTGTCCACATGACACACTGAGGTACTCAGCACAGGAAAACCAGGGATAAACAGAGCAGCCAGCAAGGACATTGCACAGACAACTGCACGGGAACAGCGATACGTCGTAATGGAGACTGCATTGACCTTAGCAACTGAGAAGGGTAAGTCTTCTTCTCAGGTAGACAACTGCAGGTTAAAGGCTTTTGCTAAGATACGCAGTGCTGAATCCATTAACTTTTTTTTTTTTTTTTTTTAAAGTCGGTTACCCACCAGTTACCAATATTTTCTTCCCGTCTCCATCTTGATGTGGAAAAAAGTGGCTCTCACTCCCAACACTACCTTGTATCAATCAACTTCCATTCAATCTCAGTGCAGCTACTCAAAAAACAGTAAAAATTCTCTTTGATTGAAATTTTGGTTTCCAAGTATCTTATTTTTACTCTCTTTTATCCTGAGTCTGCAAAGAAAATTCACTAATGATAACTTTGAACTTTTTAAGTGCTCTGTTTGCGCTTCATACACGAAATTTTATAAATAGTGACCAAAAGAATACGATAAAAGACAATTTAAAAAGTATTCTTACTCATTTTTAGAGTAATCGCTACTTTTAAGAAAACAGTTTAAACTTATACCTGGTGGAGAACTGTAGTTTCTTAGACTGCAGTTTTGCTGTGTCACACTTATGACTCTCATTTTTGTCTTCCTGAAATACACACACTTAAGAGGAAAATAAAGAATATTTATCATTATAATTATGTTGTAGGTACATTTTTCCCAGTTGTAGAAAACTAAACTCAAAAAAATACCTCCAGGAACTGATACTATTGTTATATATTTATATAAGCTACCAGCTATTTGGAAGCAGAAGCATGAAGATGGCAGCACCGAGGTTTAAACCAAGTCCAACTTCAGTATTATTTGGAATTTCAGTAAGAATCTATGATAGCATCAAAACATGCTGTCTGTAGCCACTGTACTTATATTATTTACACAAATAATTACATGTATTTACAGTTTAACAATGACAAATGACAGGTAGTCAAAAATCACAGAGAGTTTACAGAATAATTACAAATTCAATTTCCACATTCTGACTTATGTGAAGTCCAATTCCAACATGACATGATGCGTTATGTTTGGATACCAATTTTTAAAGGAAAGAAAAAAAAAAGTTTACTCAGAGTAACCCACTTATTTCTTTTGCTCACAGAGGAAGTGTCAAAATTTGGGAAAAAGTTTACCTCATTGCACAAACTTGATGACTTCAGTGCGTTCACTGATAATTTCCTCATAATTCTCAACATTTTGGCTCTTGCCTCTAAAGCTGTTCCCTGCCAAGACAAGTAAGCATTGTACAAAACGTTTATGACAGGGAACAGATAACTATACTACTCCCACGTAAATCAATCATGAAACCTAACTGTTTTTCAAGCTAAATCAGGTTTTTCAGGTTACCACTTTGCAGGTTAAAATGGTGTTAGATCTGTAAAAATTGTGTTCTCAAGCCTTAAAAACGCAGCATAAATGCACGCTCACAAACACTAAACATGCTTCTCCAAGCAACCTGGCAAACAGTAAAGCAGACAAATTAACATGAGAGTTTACACCCGCGCTCAGGTAAGCTCTAGAGAACCAAAGACGAAGCGTACATAGCTCTTCTGATCCAGAAGGAGAAAGGCGGGCAGAAGGAGTTAGGTATCTGGGACAGAAGTAAAAGAAAATATTAACCACTAGAGCTTTTAAGCATTGCCCACACTGTAACACAAAACCCAAGCGCAGAAGCTTCAAAAGCATTCTAAAAAAAAATTAAATTCAAAAGCTGACTGCTGTTTATTTAGGCAGACACGAACAGCCAGCTCCGGCGGTTTTATGCTTCGTGGCAGAGCCTCACAGCCCAGGGGAAGAAGCTGGAGTACAGGCCCGCTTCCAGCCCGCGCCTGACGAGCC